GTTTTATGGTTATGGTTTTATCAATTTATATTTATGCCTTTATGGGATATTGAAGCATTTTGATTTTTATGCTTTTAGATTTAATGTGGAAGAAGATCGACCTTCTACCAAGAAAGGTAGAACCTTATTGTCTTTCTTTTCAAAAAGTAACAAATCTCAGGATTCTCCAATTCCTACGGTGCCCATTCTTCCAATTTCATGCCCTGAAGTTGAACGGCCTTCATTTTCCAATCTTAATTTTGAACCATCTGATTTCATTGAACGGGACCCTGGAAAAAGAAAGCAAATATGTAAACATCCATTTAATGAGCGTGATCAGATTAGGCGGGCTTATCTAAATGTTGGACTTTATCAAACAAAACTTTTGGAGTATCAGAGCAAAGAATGTGGAAAGCAGAAACATTGATTTCAAGAACGTTGGTATAATTAGTTTCATTGGTTGGAATATTCGCCTTCAACACATAAGGCATATTGTTTTTACTGCTTCCTTTTTCTCAATAATAGTACTCTACCTAATATTTTATCATTGGTTACTGTTGGATTTGATAGTTGGAAGAGGGTTAACCAAGGAAGTAAATGTGCATTTCTTATTCATGTTGGTACAACATCATCATCATTTCATAATGGCTGTAAGAGAAGAGCTGAAGATTTAATGAAACCAACTCAACATATTGACAAGGTAATGCATTCTGTATCAAATGAGGAAAAATAGAAAAATCGTTTGCGCCTAAAGACCTCTATTATGAGTGTCAAGTGGTTAGCTCTTCAAGGTTGTTCCTTTAGAGGCCATGACGAATCTCCATCTTCACTGAATCGTGGGAATTTTATTGAATTGGTGGATGCATTTGCAAATATGCATTTTGAAGTAGGAAAAGTTGTGTTGAGTAATGCTCCCAAAAATGCTACATACACGTCTCCAGACATTCAAAAAGAAATTTTGAGCATTATGGCCAATAGAGTACGACAAGGAATTCGTACAGAAATTGGGGATGCAAAGTTTAGTATTCTTGTTGATGAAGCACGAGATGAATCTTCATGAGAACAAATGGCTATTATCCTGAGGTTTGTGAACAGTAGTGGAATTTTGACAAAACGTTTTTTTGCAATTAAAAGTGTTAGTGACACTACCTCATTAAATCTTAAGAATTAGATTTCTGATGTTCTTGTTCGTTTCAACCTTCAAGTGCAAAACATGAGAGGCCAATGATACGATGGTGCTAATAATATGCGTGGTTCTTGGAATGGACTACAGGCATTATTTCTTAAAGATTGTCCATATGCATATTATGTTCATTGTTTTGCCCATCGTTTACAACTCACATTGGTTTCTGCAGCTAAGGATGTCTCAGATATTAATTCATTTTTTTCTCATTTAGACAATGTTATTAATATGATTACATCATCTCCTAAGCGCATCAATGAGTTGAAAAGTGCCCAAATAAAAGAAATTGAGCATTCGTTAGAAATTGGAGAACG